TTAGAGGCCAAGGCAGTACTTTGCAGTTCTTTCTGTGGTGGGATTAATAAGGAAAATAGATCTATTTATTTAATCTTTAACTAGTCCCACTACTACAGAGGAAAATCTAACTTATTTCTGATTTGTTTTATACTTTGTCTGATCCAGTAGGTTAAACAATTTCTTTGCGAAATGTTCAACATTTGGTCTTCTATTTCTTTCCCTTTTTCTATGCTGGCCAATACTGTACTTAAGAACTGTTAAAAGATAAACTGAGGCATATTAAAATTTTTAAGAGTTTATTTGAATAGCAAATATCAATTCAAATGGGGCAATACCAAACTGGAAGTGGTTAGGAACCCTCTACCAACAGGAGCCAGAGGAAAGACTTATGTAGAAAAAGTGCAGAAACAAAGAAAGAAAATTATTTGATTGGTTATAGCTTTAAGCCTGGTTAGCTGTTTGTGACTGGCTGTCCTTAGGTTTTTATTTTATAATTTTGAGGCATTTATAGGCTTAGATTTTGGTTTGCTTATGTAATGCTGCCACAGCATTAGAGCCACCACAATCTAATGGCCTCATTGTTTAATTTAACAGTGTATAAAGGAGAAGGGGGGATAGCAGCATGAAAGGGCCGTTGGGCTGCCCTATGCCTTATCTGGAAGCTGGTGCCCTGCTGGTCTATGGGCAGCTGATGTAACTGATTCCAGTCCTTCGCTAGGTCAGGCCCCGTCTCTCCCTTGTTGAGTTGGCCTCAAGTTAACTCACTGGTTCAGAAGACAGTTGTACACATCTTGTACTCCCTCCTAGCCACTCACTGGTGCTTGCTTAACCTCCTGATGCAGCTATTCCTTAACCCCTACACAACCCACAGTTTTCCCATTGGTTCTTAACCCAGTTACATCCTCAGCCACTCTGACAACTTCACCTAGGAACCAGAGAAGCCCAGGAAACTTAACTGTCATGGTTCCCCACTGGCAGCTCATGGGGCAGTATCCATTTGGAGGCCAAAAAAGCATCCCTGCTAATCTCTACATATCCTGGGCAAAGGTGGGAGAAGAAAAATGGGGACACTGCTCCCCTCTGCCTTCTCTACCATTTGCTTTCCTCTTCATGCCATCCTTCCAGGCTGGAAGTGAGGGACTCTACTATGTATGCACTTTCTTCTCTACTCTAGCCTCTTTCTACATTAAGAACATTATCTTTTAAAGTGGAATAGTATCCTCCCAGGAATGATGAACCGCAAGGTTTGGTCTTAAGATGCTGCAGGCTGCAAAGGAGAATATATTTTAAGGAGAAATTGACAATATTTTGATTTAGTACTTGTATAATATTTTAGCCCTGGGGTTACTATTGATTAGTGAATCCAGCAAGCATAAAATATTTATTGATAGAACATTATAAAGACAAATTGTTCGGCAGAATATAGACTCCTCACATATCACCAACACAACCCAGGGAGTCTCGACATCTAGACAAAGGTTTGATAGTGTTTTGAGGGGAAAGGCCGGGCTGGAATTTATTAAGAATTGGCAGTTTGATTTAAGGCAGGATTTTCAACGTGGTAGGGGGATGCTGGGAACTTAATCAGGATTGGGAAAAGATACAAGGATCCTAAATGGATGGAAACACACAGCAAGGCAAGGATTTTGAGGCAAGAGATTCAATAAATTTTAGGGCATAAACTATCTGTGATGCTTTTCCATTGAAGAGTTAATGGGTCTTTTTAGGAAGTTCCTATAATGAACAATCAAGCCATTTGCCTGGGCAAGTGTCTCTTGGAATAGTAAAGTCATGCTAATGAACCCGTGGAATCCCAAAGTAATGTAAATACAGATTGTAAGGAATGTGGGGTGGGGTGGATAGTTTCAGTCCTCTGTGTGCAGGCTGACTGTGGCAGTAAATGGTTTCTGTGCTCAGACTTAGCATATACAATTTTGCTGTTACTGCAGCTCAAACTTGTAGCTATTCTAGAGATAGTAAATTGTTACCTACTGCCTTTTAGTAGAACATAAGTTTTATAAGTGTTTTCTGTGCCAAGTAAATTGTTTTGAAAGGTGGCAAGCTTTAAGAAAAAAGTTTATGTCTGCTATGTAATAAAATAAAACTACATAATGATATGAAGTTTAGAAATATTCCATTCTATCTGTTTATGTGTTTTTTGGTTTTTTTTTGCATTTCTTATATCCAAAGAGACTATGGAGAAACGAATTCCATTGATGTGGACTTACAAATGGCAAGTGATACCTTCAAGAAGTTAACAAAAAAGGAATGGATTTCTTTCATGGTAATAGTCAATATTTTCTTGAGAAGTAGAGCAATAGAATTTCCTTACCGGAACCAATATGGTTGCAGTTTAATTTTGTTGAGAGCTGAGCGAGGGGACACTGTGATAGAGGAGGAGGCTAGTGTTCATTATGAGGTTTCTGTATTCCAGACACTGTATTAAGTGCTGGCTTTTATTTCTTTTTGAATGCTTAAATGTATGGTAGATGACAACGTTTTTATTTTCAATATGAGAAAACCACTGCTTGAGAGGTAAATAATCTGACATATGAAAAGACCACTAGTTTGGGAAGCAGAATAACCTGACCCTGGACTAGGAGACCGAAAAGGCCAGTTTCTATTTTGAAATGAATCTCAAATCTAGTTGAGATGAATCTGCTACTGATTCATCCCCTATCCTCTTTGGGTTACATTTTCTTTACCTATAAGTTGAGTTCATCTTTAAGATCTATTCCAATTTAATATTTTGTGCTCCTTGGTTGTGTTGGAAGAAAAACTTTTCCTCTACCAACTTAGGTTCATGTGTTTGGGGGCCTGCAAATTGACAATAGACAGATTAACAGGAGCACAGAAAACCAGTTTGATTTCTATGCATGTGAGAACATTCCAATAAAAAGGCTCCTGGGACAGCTAGCGATGATGGCTTATACAATATACCAATTTAATAGGGGAAAGAAGTGGGGAGAAAGGGCTTCTATGGAAAAACAAATGGACTTTTTGGGGAGACAAATGGGCTTCTGGGGGGATAAATGGGAGATATGGCAGCTTATGATAGTGTTTGTTTATACAGTTTCTCATCCAAGTACAAGAAGGGGCTTATGGCTGCTTCACTATTGGAAGGCTTTAGTCAAATAAGGGAAGCTCTGAAGGCGTTTTTCTCCATTAGCTATATCTCAAATGTCTGCAGTTGAAAGTCACCTTTGTACCATTTAAAGTCATCTTTATACCATTTTGGGTCCCTACATTTGGCAGGGAAAGGGGGAGAGTATTCCTTAATATGCAGTTGATACTATATTTTTATTTCCAAGATGAAGAATACTAGATGTTATCAAGTATATTTTAAAAATAAATTTATTTAGGTGATATGGGCGATAACTTGGGGTGCTATTCCCAGTGTAAGTACCAAGGAACATGAATTTCAGAGAACGCTGCATGATAAAGTGTCCCTAGTGAAATAATTTTGGAAATACTGCATACTAGTATGGAGTCGTGATGCATATTAGTAAATCAAAGATTCTATGATGTCATACACAAAAAAAGTCAAGCTTTTTTTACTCTATTTTTCTCAAGTTACTTGACTTTATGTTACTATTTTCCCATACGCACCTAACTAGCATTCCACAGAAATCATGTTCTTCTGGACATCTGAGAAAACAATTTGGAAGAATATTAATGTAGTAATAATAATATATAGTAATTGATAGTATATTGTTGCTTATATCATCTTACTTAACCCTTATGCCATGTAGAGGCAGATACTATAGTTAAGAGTATCTAAGATCTATGTATAGAATTAACAATGCTAGCTGTTGTAATAACTTCTAAATCTCAGTGGCTTAACACAATGAAGATTTCTTTCTTACATCATGGAGATAGGAGGCACCTGAAGGGGAGGAAAAATATTATTTTTCCTCTACCCACCTTAGTTTCATTGGCTGGAACCCTGCAAATTAGACTGAGAAAAAGACAGGTTAACAGGAGAAAAACCAATACAAGTTTATTCACATGGCATCCTTCATATACACTCAGTGATGAGTAATTTGAAGGGGTGGTTAGAATTGGCCTTATATAGTATCTTAGTAAAGTTCAATAATTTTGCATAGAAGTGATAAGACCAACGAAAAGGACTTTGAGCTTCTAGGAGTGCCCAATTGTGGGAAGGCAAATATATGGGGGAAATTAGATAAGGACCAGTTAGTAAGGTTTGTTTGTGTAGACTCTTGCTCAGTGCCAGCTCATCTCTGCTGATCAGGCTGCTATCCCCTTCCTGGTACATGAATTCAGAGGCAGGAAGATACTCGCGCAAAAGGAATTTATATTCTGCGTTCAGGTAGATAGAGGGAAGCCAGGGAGCTTGTGCTGTGTCTGCCTTTCTTACTTGCCTTCAGTTCACAATAATCACACCACGGTGGCGTATTTTGGGGTGGCATATTCTACCCTTCCCCCCTCTGCACAGGTTCATTCAGGACTGACTCAGGCGCCTTCTTTCTAGTGTTCTAGGCTCTGGGGCCAATACATCCTCGAGTAGATCTTTTGTGTTTGGTTGGCAGGTTAGGAAAGAGAATATGTCAAGTCGCAGGAGAGGCTTTAGGGGGGCCATGCCTGGAAGTGCCACACATCACTTTCACTTACATTTTGTTAGCTAGAACTCAAGTCTCACAGCCCTACCTGACTGCAAGGGGAGGCTGGAAAATACCGTCTTGCCGTGAACCCACGACGAAGCTGAAACAGGATTGGGGAGGTGACCAAAAGGCCTTTCCTCTGCCACGGTAGATTTTACGTCAGACAGATCTGGGAATGGATCCCTGATCTGTGGCTTTCTAACTGAGCAGCCCCCACGATTCGTTCAGTACGTACATGCACACGTGATTCACTTTTATGTTCTCACGCACCCTAACGTAAAATAGGAGCATGGCTCTCACATACCACTTCAGGGGCATTTGGGAGGCAAGCAGTGATGGCGTTTGAGCAGGTTTCAGGAAAACTAAGTGATTATTCCAACCGGAAAGCGGTAGAATGAAACCGCTGCGCCATACCTTATCCTGGGCCTTTCCCTGATCCTGTTTCCACTGCAGGTAACTACATGTCTCAGGGATAATCTGCTCAAAGCTCTTCCNAGTCTATCTGAAGTGTACCTGGCGTATAAGACGACCCCCCACTTGGAGGCATATTTTTCAGGGCCAAAAAATCGTCTTATACGCCGGCAAATACGGTAGTGGGAGGGACAGAGAATAAGAGGGGAGCAAATAGAAACAATGACTGTGACAATTCCAAGAAGTTTTGTTATGAAGGGGAGTAGAGAACAGTGGGAGGCTTTTGTTATTGTTTAGAGAGGTGATAGTAAGGTATGTTGTGTGCCATTGTGAATGATCCAGTTCAGATGGGGAAAGGGATGGAGTATGAGAGTAAATAATTGTCAAAACTGTAGAGGGACATTTGTGTTGTGGTGGCTACTTCTGCTGTTTAGTGGATGGAGGCCAGGGATGCTGCTGAACACCCTATAATGCACAAAATGGCCCCTCACAACAAAGAATTATCTGACCCAACACGTCAGTAGCATTAATTTAGAAACCATGAGGGCGTGATTGGCTAAGGTGAAGCAGAGGAAAAAATTGGAGATGTGATCAAGAATTGAGAGATCAAGGTGGGAGATAAATTGTGTTAATCAATTCTGAAGTTCCCAAGAATGGCAGGAGGAATACTGACAGGTATGGGGATGCCGAGGAAGATCGTCAGCGAGGTGCTACAGTTTTCAATGATAAGGGTAGTGACTAGGACATGGAGAGGTGATTCTAAAAGAAGGGGAGGCAGATGATACAGCCTCATGTCATGTCCTTCAGAGGAGCTGGAATTATGAAGAAGTAGAAGAAATGGTATGAAGGGAGCACCTTCTTGGCCTAACGTTCCTGGGATGTGGGAGGAAAAAAAGCTTCTTCATTATTGAACTACAGGGGACACCCAGGACTCAGATCAAGAAGCTGGAGGGAACTTTAGGAGTCATGGTTACACATCTTTATCAAGAGTTCTTCATTTAAGCATTAAACCAAAAATAATACACCGTTTTCCGACCCATTACGAGTTCAGTGGAGACAGAGGTATACTATAGAGCAGAGCACTAATGTCTTTGGAAGACTATGTTAAAGACAGATTTTTCTTTCCAGTGATGTCTGACACCTCTGGCTAAGCCATTTGATTTCAAGCATTATCTAGAGCAGGGGTCAGCAAACTGTGGTTCCCGAGCCACATACGGCTCTTTGGGTATGTTCTGTCTCAAAAGTTTGCCGACCCCTGGAAGAGCCAATCCTGTCCCTCATAACAATTTAAAAATTATTCGAGAGCCATAAATATATTTTTACATAATCACCATTATGTGAATAACATTCTTTAAAAATTTTATAAATGAAACTATGATAGTTTTATTTTCATTTTCAATTTTACTTCAGAGCCTGCAGCTTGTAAGCTGCAGTTTGCTGACCTCTGGCTGCTCTTCTGTCTCAAAAGTTTGCCGATCCCTGGTATAGAGCCATGGTTCCCAAAGTGTTTTCCCCAAACCAGCAGCTTCAGCATCTCCTTGGAATTCGCTAGATGCAACTTCTTTTTTGTTTTTTTTAAAGATTTTTATTGGGGAATTGGGGGAAGGGGAACAGACAAGTTGCTGTCCTTTTGTTCTTCAGTCTAGTTGTGGAGGNCATCAAACAGGCAATCTTTTTGTTACACCAGCTGAGCCATCCTGCCACCTGTTGGCAGCTCAGCGACAGCTCAGCTTGGGCGCAGTGTCACTGGCCCATGTGGGAATCAAACCGGTAGCCCCATTGCTCAGAGCCTGTGCTCTTAAGCCAACTCTTAACCAACTGAGCTACTCAGCCGGCCTAAACTATGTGTTGTTATTGTTTATTTTATTCACTACTATAGGATGTTCTTTTATAATTTGAAGCTAGTGTTCAAGCTCCAAAGCTTAAAAGGTACAAAGAACATATACAGTGAAATATAAGCCACCCAGTTCCCCTCTATCAGAAAGCAGTTACAGAATATAGTTTCTTGTGTAACCTTTGAAAGATATTACACACACACGCGCACGCGCGCGCGAACATACACAAACACACACACTCACACACACACACACACACACACACAGGGAAATGTCTTTTTTTCATTCACATTCTTTGGCAACTTGCTTTTTCCCCACTTAACAGTATATCACGGAGGTCATTCTGTTATTGGGCTTACAGAGCTGCCTTGTTCTATTTAATGGCTGAATAGTATTATTTTGGAAGGATATACTGTGAATAATTGTTTCTAAACTTTTGCTATTATAACAGTGCTAAGATACATTTCTTTGTACATATTCCAGAAAGCAATATTACTGGGTCCAATTGTATATGCATTTAAAATTTTGAGAGATTTTTGCCAAACGACCCTCAACAGAAGTTTGGGCCACCATGTGCCCAACTTAAAGTGGCCACCATTCACATTGTAGTCTAAATTGCACCCTTGGAGTTGGGCAACATGGCATCCCTCACAGAGGATGTTTCTATCAGTTTACACTTCATCAACAAGTATTAGAGCATCAGCCCATGCACTTTTCTACAGTGTTATCAAACTCGGGTCTTTCCCATTCTAAAAAAAAAAAGAATCTCTTAATTTTAATTTTCTCATTATGAATGAGATTGCTGGTTTTCCTGTATCACAGTTCCATTTGTATGTCATATTTTGGCAACTTTCAGTTCTTCCCTTTTGCCCTTTTTTTCTGCTTGTTTTAAGCATTTTTCTTTTTTATTCAGGGTTTTAAACTATTAAGGCAGAGCTAATCCTGTACAGTAATATGAGCTCCAAATTTTTTCTTTAGGTCATTAAGATTTTCTTTTACTTTGTGGTATTTTTGCCATGCATAATTATTTTTAAACATTTTTATGAAGCCTAGTATATTAACATTTTCCTTTATGGTTTCTGAGTTTGGGTCATACTTCAAAAAGATTACCTCACTTTGAAACTAAAACAAAAAATTTCCCTTGCTCCTCAAGAATTTTTATTGTTTCATTTTTATGTTAAATCTTTGATCTATATGGAGTTTATCTCTATTAACATTTTTCTGGATTGGTTTTCATTTGTCCCAGATAATTAGTGAATGATCTGTTTCATTCCCACTAATATGCAATACCACCTTTATCATATACTAAGGCCTCGTGTATTTAGATCCATTTATGGAATTTCTGCTATATTGATCTGTTTTTCATGCATTTGGATCATACTATTTTAATTACATTAGCATGATAATATATTTTAATATTTGATAGGTTTGTTTTTTGAGAATTGTCCTATAATGTTATAATAATCCAGGTTGTAACCTCAGTAATATTAAAATATTGTTATGAGATAATATAAAAATATGAGTATCCATATATACCAGGTGTTCATAAAGTAGGAAGACATAGATAATATTATTTTTTATAGATTGAAAATGTCCTTGATGACATTATATGTATATGTGTGTACGTGTATTCACCTATGTATGTTTTCAGGCTTTATAAACACCCTATAAAATTTTTAGTTTAAAAATCATGAAACCAATCAAGTAATCAAACATAACTATGAACTGTCAACACATTTCTTCAGAATCCTGAATTTGAGTTTTTAATTCCAATGATACTTAATCAGGGAAAATAAATTTATTTTCTGTAGGTAATAAATGTTGTCCAGGATAATATCCTTAAAAAAATATTTTATGGGTTATGCCATCAAAAATGGAAAATTTTATCTATTTCTTATATTAAAGAACCCAGTAAAAACTAAGGGAGTTTTTTTTTTTATGGGGGTGGGCGTGGGTGGGTATATATTTGTCATGCTGGTCTTACACCCCTCAGAGCAGTGTTGGGCATCTTTGCAAGAATCTTCTCTCAACACACTGATCCAGATGCTTAAAACTGCCATCGTTGCTCAACTGCATTTTTCGGCTGCAACTGCTCAGAGTGTCAACAATGTCAGAGCTCCTCTAAGAATGATGAGAGAACTGCACAAGGTAAGTGTTCATCTAAAGAAACGTATATACCATTTTACTAAACCAAAATTCCTTAGGTCTCAGCCAACTGGAGTCTCTTGTTTTGTTATGTTTTTTCACAACAGATAGAATATTTTATTCAGCTCTTAATTAAAAATTTTGCTTGTTTTGTTAACTGGATAAACTCTGGAGAAATATATTGCATATTATATATATTAGTTGCAAAAATGCTCAAATAAGAGCATGATTCAACATTTTCATTAGAGTACACAGCATAATCTAGAAGTAACCTAAGGTTAGGCAACTAATAAACTTGATTATTGGAGGATAAGGAGGAGCCAGAGCATTTTAAGTAAAAGAACAGAATTAAGTTGGTATTGTTCAATTTAAAATTTAGCTAAGATATAATACTTTTACAAAGATAGATTGCTAAGTCGCAATCAAAGCAAATTTCACCACAAAATACTAATCTACATAGGAGAAACTATGACATACAAAAGTTTTTCATTAGTGCTTTTCAGAAGTACTAATGTAGTAGTGTATTTCTAAAGTAGTATATTTCTTTTTTTCTTCAGCTTTATTGAGATATAATTGACATAAAACACTGTGTAAGTTTAAGGTGTGCAGTGTGTTGATTTGATACACATATATTACAAAATGATTACCACCATAGCTTTAGCTAACTACTTCATCATCTCACATAAGTACCATTTCTTTATTATGTTGATAACACTTAAGATGTATCGACTCTCTTAGCAACTTTCAAGTATGTAGTACAGTATTGTTAACTATAATTGCTATGCTGTACATTAGATCCCCAGAACTTACTCATTTTATAACTGAAAGTTTATACCCTTTTACCAATATCTCCCTGTTTTCTTCACCCCTCAGACCCTGACAACCATCATTCTACTTTGTTTCTATGAGCTCGGATTTTTTAGATTCCACATATAAGTGAATTCATACAGTATTTGTCTTTCTGTCTGCCTTTTCTCACTAGCATGATGTCCTCAAGGTTTGTCCATGTAGTCGCAAATGTAAAGATTTCCTTCTTTCTCATGGCTGAATACATATTCCAGTGTTTATATATACCACATCTCCACATCTTTATCCATTCATTCATCCATGGAAGCTTAGGTTGTTTTCCCTGTCTTGACTACAGTAAATAATGATACAATGAACACGGGGGCACATAAATCTCTTTGAGACAGTGATTTCATTTCCTTTGGATAGCCATTCTAACAGGTAGGACATGATATCTCCTTGTGGTTTTGATTTGTATTTCCCTGATGATTGGTGATGTTGAGCATTTTTTTATGTACCTGTTGGCCATCTGTATGTCTTCTTTGGAAAAATGCTTATTCAGTTACTCTGCCTATTTTATAATCAGATTGTTTTTTGCTCAGTTGTATGAGCTGTGTGTATATTTTGGGTATTAATCCCTTATCAGATATGTGATTTGCCAATATTTTCTCCCATTTCATAGGTTGCCTTTTCATTTTGTTGGCTGTTTCTTTTGCTGTGCAGAAGCTTTTTAGTTCGATGTTGTCCATTTA